TCAGCAGGCTTTCTAGCAGAACTGCAGCCTGGTATTTATGTGAAGGGGTTTTTGCGTTCTTGCAATCAGCTCAATGAATAGAAAGACTTGTCAAAGCATGTCTGAGGAACTACTCTCATTTCTACCTTCTTTTAAGCTGTATTAGTTGTTTGCATCTGAAATGCTTGTTCTTCTGACATAGGAAAACTGAACATAATGGCAAAAAAATGCTTTCAGAGGCAAAAAGCAAAATTTAATGCAGTGCAGACTTCCCCTGCTGATCCTGGCTCTTTGGTGGATGAAGACAGTCCCATCTGGTTATCCTCAAGAACATAAGTATGGCAGCTATTGGAAACAACAGTTGCTGTTTCTAACCGTGGCTTTTTTGTGTATTCTGGGTGAATTTTTCTCTTCATTTTATAAAGTGGAGATAATTTGCTACAGAGCAGCTGGCGATGCTGATTGTACGGCTCCTTAGTCAGCATCCAGCATTGCCCTCCAAGGTGGAATTGACCTGTGCCGATAGTTGGTTGCTGCTAATTAAAAGGTATAGGATGAGAGAATGACGTGACCGTACTGTCATTCAGTGCCAAAACCTAATCTTCTTTTTCCTCTACAAAGGCCTGTAGGCAGCTACCACTCTCCTCTTAAGAGGACTGCTTGCAGCACTTCTTGAAAAATAAACGTATCCATGAAACACTCTTAATCCGAGCAAATGCCTGTAGGAGTCCTTGTAGATCCCACTTCAGTGTGTCCTGGAATTGAAACTCAGAATTAATCTGCATGGCATTTTAACTGGCTCTCTGTTGATGTACCATTGCCACAATTACTCAGTTTACGAGAGAAAGATGATCTTCAGCGGAAGGTTTGATTCCCCTTTTTTTGTATTTGTAGGGACCAGCAGCACCAACACCGTCGGGGCTACAGTGAACAGCCAAGCACCCCAGCCTCAGCCTACGGCTATTGCCTCCAGCCGGAAAGGGACGTTCACAGATGACCTGCACAAGCTGGTGGATAACTGGGCCCGAGACGCCATGAACCTGTCTGGCAAGAAAGTTGGCAAAGGGCATAGCAACTATGAGGTGAGGTGCAATCCGTGAACATTCACGGTCAGGAACTCTCGGTGTCGTCGCTCTCTCGTTAGGGTGTCAAACACAGCTGGGGTGCAGTTGCCCTGTGGCTTGGCCAACTGCTCTGGAAAACGGTCGGCTGTGTCTTTTGTGCGCCGGGATTGTATCGCCCGCTGCGGGAGGGAGCGGGGGGCATAACTACAGAGGAGGGCGGTGGCGTGTCCTTGCAAGCGCATCCATTGGGGTTTTTAAGCACCAGTTGCGTAACTCTTCTTGGGGGTTGGGTTTCCTTTCAGGGCCCTGGAATGGCAAGGAAATTCTCGGCTCCGGGTCAGCTCTGTATCTCTATGACATCTTCCCTGGGTGCTACGCCCATCTCCGCAGCATCAGCTACCTCTTTAGGTCCCTTCACGAAGGCCATGTGCCCTCCGCAGCAGTACGGTTACTCGGCAGCGCCTTTCGCCGCCCCGTGGAGTGGGACGGGTGGCCCCGCGCAGCCGCCGCTCGGCCAGTTCCAGCCCGTAGGTGCCGCGTCTTTGCAAAGCTTCAACATCAGCAATTTGCAGAAATCGATCAGCAACCCTCCAGGCTCCAACCTGCGGACCACTTAGCTGCGCTGGGAGAGCGTGCTGGCTAGACCTCGGGACAGGACGTGGGGAGGGAGAGGGGGCCCCGTATCAACGACTAGTGCTGCAATGAACTGGTAGCTTGCCAGACTGGGAATGATTTCTCTTTTCCGACCGTTGCTGTCGACTCTCTGTAAAGGGAGTTTCCCCACAGGCTTTCGAGGGGGAGGAGGATGATGGGCATCCTTCCGATGGGACAGCGCTTTTGACCGAGGGGTTCCGCTCTTGTTTGGAATGAGAGCGGTGAAGAGAAGTCACGGGGTCGGTTCATGCAGCCTTGCTGTAAAATTTCTCTCTGGTGTGAGGCTGAATCCACACGCGTTGAGGTGGGAGAGCTGAATCCTTGCATGAGGCTTTAGCGCGCTTCTCCTCTCTCCCTGAAGAACCAAGACCAGGAGAAAAGCTGTCCAAATCCCCCTCCTCTCCCTCTCCCCAGTCGATCGTATCTGGCTCCGAGACGATGGGGCCCACGAATGGACTTGCAGTGCAGCCCGTGCTTGATAGGTCATTACTGCTTTAAGTAAGATATTAACAGCTTTGACTGCAGCATTAGAGCAATTTAAATTGTTTAAAAATTTTTAAAAGTTCCCTGCGGACATGTACTTACCATCAGTTTTGATGTGGAAACACTGTGATATATAAATGTTGTTGGACAACAGTAGTTTAAAAATGAGTGAAATATAGAGGGTTAAAAAAGTTAAAAAGAAAAAAAATGGGAAAAAAAGCTAGCTATATCCTTATACTTATTGGAGACACTTTAACTTTTTCCTTTGTATTTTCATTGTATTAGATAAATAAATGTGAATGTAAAATTGTATAAATTAATGTACTTGAATACTTGTCTGTTCTCCCAGTATGCTTGCTGGATATTTTAGTGCCTTGGACTTCGATTGCTTCTGCAGTTAGCATCGTCTTCCCAGCAGAGCCCCAGGGGGACGGAGGGCAAGCTCAGAGGAGGATGGGTTATTTCGGACCTGGCGACTGGGACGGCTGCGTTGGTTGAGCGACGCCGTTACCCTTTGGCGTAGGTGTGCGGAGGGGGAAGTCACTGAGGCAGCGCGTGGGAACAGCGTTGGGTGTGTTGGGGAAGCGTGTCCGGGCGGGCAGATCTGAAGTTGCTGGTGGGACGGAGGGTTGTGGGTGAAGCTGGAACGAGCCGAACCGGTACTGTCTGCGGAGGCAGGAGGTCTGGATCAGAAGCGGAGGGAGGACGGGGAGCAGGTGTGTCTTTGGGAAAGGCCCAACTTAAGGTGCAGTTTGACTCCACCGGCGAAGCGGCAAAGGTGTTTGGTCAGGATGTGACTTGAGGGAGAGGTGCCGTTGCTCGTTGGCGTGGGCTGGTCTGCTGGGGTTGCTCTTCTTACCTTGTTTTTGGGTTGGTTTTGGTTTTTTGTTTGGGTTTTTTTTTTTTTTTTTGTTTGCCTGTTGTAAAATCCATTTAAGCCAGGAATAGCCTCTCCCGGTGCAATGTCCATTGCCGGCAATGGATGTACTTGAAACAGCCGGCATCAAGAAGTTTCCTCTGCCTTATGTGGAGGATTTAGGGTTTTTGTTCACTCTTAATGAATTTCAAGCTGGTACCAGGACTGTAATGTATCTGTCACCTCTTAGTAACTGTACTGTACCTTCTGCTCTGGTCATTCTCCCTTTTCATATTTAAAAAAAATACTGGTTTCCTCTTCAAAGTAGAAAAAATACCAGCCAGTATTTACGTAGTGCTGCGGAAAGCTGTGAAGGCCGAGAGGGCTGCTCCCCGGTGCCTGGGAGCAGCTCGCCGCTGTCCTGGGAGCCGGTGCATCACGGAGATGTTACTTGCCTGGATTTTTTTTTTTCTGGGAGCGCTGTTCCCCTGTGGAGCCTTAACAGGCAGTGTTTCTGTCTGCGGGTGTTCTCACGCTTTTTATTTTTGCAAAGAAAAGGCGCAAGATCCCTTCTTTCCCCATCACTTTTTTTTTGGACAGTGGTTTCGGCAGCAAGGGCGGGCGCAAGCTGGAGATGGAGGCCCCGGGGGTAAAGTTAGCGGCGAGGCGGCTGGGCGCCGCGTTCCTCCGACTCGGGGGGTTTATTCTTGGTAACCGAGGAGCAGACCATGGGGGAGGGGAGAGGGGTGCAGCAGCAGCACTGACAAACCTGGGGCAGTAATGACACGGGGGGGAAGTTCCTGACGGGGGGATCCAAGCAGCTGGATGCAGCACGTGGTTATTTAATTTGGATCTAATAAGTTTGAAGTCGTTTTTTTTTCACTTAATGTTATGCAAGAACTGGTTTTATTTACCATTGATTTCCCCCTCCCTCCCCTCCTGTGGATGAATAACTGAAGTCTAGAGGAATAAACTAATGCTACTGAACTGTTAAATTATTTTGTTTAATATTACACTTTGAGTATCTTTTTCCACATAAAATCTGTTTCTGAATTACAAGCGTTTTCTTTACATTATTTAACAATGTACACTGTAAAAAAAAAAATAAAAAAAATAAAAAAAAATAAAATGAATTGAAACCTTGGGCTTCCCTGGCCGTAGTTAGTTGTGTGTTTTGCACTAAACCCAGGCACTGCGCTTCTTGTACGATTGCGCTTTGTGCTGCCATTTGTTACCTTTGTAGAATATTTAATGAAGTCATTCAAATAAACCAAACCTGCTTTTGTTGAGCCGTGGGGTTTTCTTGTTGAACGGCAGGTTCCACCCTCTCCCTCCTCTTCCTGGAGTGATTTACCCGTTGCCCGGTTTATCACAGGCGAGTACCAGAAACCCGTCGTAATGAGACCCTGAAGTTCTCCAAAGCAGGGATCAGTAATGAGCCTTTGGCCTTTTGGTAGAAGGCGCTGTGAGGAGCGATCCAGAGCATGCATCTCCTTTACGAGAAGGAGGGGCCTCGGGGAAAGGGAGGGAGAAGCTGCGAAGGACGACGCCTGAGCAGGACGATTGCTTTTACGGCCGAGACTGTCAAGAAGCCGCCGAATGGCAGAGAAAGGCACTCGGCTGTGACAGCGCAGAGCTTGGCGGCTCTCCCGGCCTGAAGCGCAGGCGGAGCTTTGCTAGCCCTGGTCCTGCGCTTCCCCGGGCCCGCAGGGGCCCCACTCCTCCCGTTGGGTCCGCTGCCCTCCTCGCTGGGGTGGAAGGGAGCGGGGATGCGCACCCGCGGTGCTGCGGAGAAGCGGCTTTTTAGCGTGGCTCTAGAATAGGGATTCCATCCCCAAATTTGCAACCGAACCAGTGGAGTAGAAGAACAGAGCTACGTTACGGGGTCATTCTCAAACAACTGTAGCCTTGCAGGAATTATTTGGTATTTCTAAACACAAATTGCTGCCGCATTTCTTTCCATTTTAAGAGCAGCTGCTGTTACGAGTCGTGCTGCTCCGGGCCTTAT